GGAAACGGTGACAGAAACGATGAAAGGACATTGTGTATGGGCTGTGTGTGTGTGGGCGTGTGATGTGTGCTCTTGTGTCCGTCCAGAGACTTTGTGGCAAGTTTCGTTTATTCTGTAGTTTTTTTTTTCGTCGCCTTTTTTCACCTTGACATAACAACATAAAGAGCAACATCATCAAACAACGACCGTTAAGCCAAGGCTGGGACTGGGGTGGTTTTTCCTCTCTTTTTATGGCTAGTGGGGGGTGTGGATGGTGTGGGCTGTGTGTGTGTGCGGGTGTTGTATGTTCAGGTGCAACACATTCAACAGGTGCTCGAATAAGAGTTCTCTTTTCGCTTAAGCTGATTTTCTTTTGCAACAACGTAACAAACAAAAGAAACACACGGAAAATATATGTATAACGACACAAACAACAATGTCACGGTCGAGCCAACAACGAGGAAGCGAGCAGGATGGACTCAGCCGTAGACAGAGATAGCAACAGCAACAGCAACAGCAACATCAACATCAGCGACAGAAACAGATGCAGATGCAGAAAATTGAGTACAGCACAGGTAGGTGGGTGGTTGGGTTGGGTTGGGGCATGGCAGCTTGACATAACGACTGTGCAATGTGTTCTGTGTGTGTTTGTTCTCTCCTCTCCTCTCTCTCTATCACACTTTGTGGCTTGTGGCTTCTGTTGGTGTGTGTTTGAGAGTGTGCACAACGACTTTGAAAGAGACAACAGCGGGAGTAGAGACAGACAGCGAGACATCGACAACGACACAGAAAGAGAGTAAGAGAAAGACACAGAGAGAGAGAGAGAGAGAGAGAGAGAACACAAAGTCACAAGTCGCTTACCTTGCCATTGACTTACAAAAGAACTTGGAGCTTGAACCGGAGCCTGAGCCTGAAATCGAACGGGACGGGGAAGGCAAACACCGCACGGGCGCCTTAATCAATGTCAACTAAATCTACGAATATGCTAAACTATATATAAGTTTGCTCGCAGGAATTGTGGCGCACGTGCTGAATGCCGTGCAGCGAGCAGGTCGAGTAGCAGCGTCGCGTCGCAAATCTCTGTAAGAACACGAAACGAACACCACTGGAATCATAATCAGCCAGTCGCCACACCAACAAAATGAGCAGAAACATAAAGCCACAGTCGAGTATACCGACCAAAAGATACCTGGTACTGCATGGAGGCATCTGGATGGGTCTAGTCTCCACTCCAGGAAGGAGCTTAGACGGACAGATGGCAGTACCAGGTATGGAAACATAATGTGTTGAGAATGTGTTCGAAGAATGACAATGTGCGAGATGGTGACGATGCGATGATGCGCTGAGTTGGTGATGATGCTGAGGATGATGTGGATGACATGATGGTTGGCTCTACGGATGATTCCTGTAATGATATGATCCGTTTGGTTAATGTACTTTTGATGGATAGAAATCAATTTTGCTTCATTTTCAAACCAAATCACGTGATTGCAAATCATAGTTAATTATTCAGAGACTTGTTGACTGCTTATCCTCGTGCTTGCCCGAGGACAACAATGGCTCACTCGACTCTGAACTGTGACTGGTGCAATACGCTCGCACTTTTGGCCATGGCTCACCCTCAAACATTAGAGAATTATTCATTAAAATCACAGCGGGTCTGAGTTTGAGGACCCGCACCGGTTCGCATCTGATGATTTATGCAAGGATATGGGGGGGGAGTAAGAGGATGAGGATGAGATGAGCACGCCAGGATGGGGCAAATGTCAGGAAGTTTTTGCCATAGCTGTCCGTCCGCCATGTGTGAACGGAAGCCAGCAATGCAGAGGAGTGGCAGAAGGATGATGCTGGGGCACGACGACTGGCCCGAGTAAATGTCAGTTTTGTTTTTATTTTTTTCTTCTCCATATTCATTAAATTTTTAAATTAATTTTGCCGTTCGTTGAGTTTTGTATCTGGAGCATACTACAACAAGTGGAGATGGGCAGCCGCGCGTAATTCATGGAAACTTTTCCCGCAAAGCGGAAAATCTGCTTGGGGGGCCGAGCGTGGAAACTGTGAAACTGTGAAGCCCAAACCATACGAAAGAAAGCAACAATTAAGAGTGAGAGAAATCTGAAATCCGAATCCAAGTGTGGACTGACATGTGGACGGCGGTGCGGTGGGGGGTGGACAACTTACCTGCGACTTGGACCGCATTGTGGGCTGATACTTCCGGCGGATCTTGCGGGGACAGCACATGCACAGCAGACGCACAAAGGCTCTGTGAAAGAAAACAAAAGTAAAGGACTGAAGGCTATCAGGACTACAGCGAAAGTCTCACCTGCGAAAGTCCCTGCTCCAGCAGGCATAGATGACGGGATTCATGCACGAGTTGATCCAGCCCAGCCAGGTGACAATCGCAGAGACAATCTCCTCGTGCTCGATGCACTCCATGCAGAACCCGGACAGCAGGTTGACCACAAAGAACGGCAGCCAGCACACGATGAACACGCCCATCACAATGCCCAGCGTCTTGGCCGCCTTCTTCTCCTTGGCGAACTTGGCCAGCTTCCGGGAGAGCGAGAAGTTCTTGCCCATGTGCCGGTGTCGGGCCAGTCCGTTGTTGTGCAGCGCCGATAGCGGCTCGTCGTCTGGCTCCTCTGGCGTGGATGTGGTGGTGCCGCCGCCGTGGTTGTGGTGATGATGGTGCGAATGGGAATGGGAGTGGCTTAGCGACCCGCCGCCGCCGCCGCCACCACCTCCTCCGCCCCCACCCGACACCTGGTTGGCCTGATCCCTGGTCGTGCCGCCGCGATGGATGCGCAGCGTGAGCTGCAGCTCCCCGGAGGCCATCAGCACCTGCTTGGTGCCGATCTTAAGGGAGCGAGTCTGAATCACCGCCGCCCGGTAGATCCGGCAGTAGGTAAACACCATCACCAGCAGCGGCAGGTAGAAGGAGATCGTCGAGGAGAACACCAAGTAGCCCAGGTGCTCGGTGAAGGTGCACTTGTAGGCGGGCATCTCACCATCTCGAGCCGCACGCCACCAGACGATGGCCGGGAAGCTGATGGCACTCGAGCAGATCCAGACAGCGGCTATCAGGCCAGCGGCCCGCTTCACCGTCATCCGCATGGGATAGCTGAAGGGATCGGTGATGGCCCAGTAGCGGTCCAGCGATATGACGCACAGATTGAGGATCGAGGCGGTGCTGAAGAGAACGTCCAGCGAGCGCCAGATGTCGCACCAGTCAGTGCCAAAGAACCAGGTGTTCTCCAGCACCTCGTACAGTGCCGAGAAGGGCATCACAACCAATCCCACCAGGCAATCTGCCACGGCCAGGCTGGTAATGAAGTAGTTGGTGGCCGTGTGCAGATAACGCTCTCGAATGACGGCCAGGATGACCAGGGAATTGCCGAAGACGGTGGCAAACGAGAACAGAAAGAGGAAGGCCAACAGACCCACTCGATCGTTGGGCAGCGCCTCCAGGAACTCTGACAGATCCGGCTCGGGGGTCGTACTGCTGCTGCTGCTGATGGTGGAGGGGCTGAGCGGGCCCAGAGTTGTGGTGGACACACTCCCGTTAAGCGACAACTCCGTGCTCGTGGGCATCGCACTCAGACCGTTGAAGTAGAAGTAAACGTCCTCGGATATGTTGTAGCTGCTGTAGAAGCTGGCTGGTGCTCGGGTCTGTGTCTGGTTGAGAATGTCGCCACGTAGCAGGGCCAGCAGGGGCTCGACGATGGCCGAGGCGGCTCCTTCAGCTTCGGCTTCCGCTTCCGGCACTGCCAGCTGCGACAGCGCATTGTCCTCAATGTCCTCCACCATGGCTACCGTCTCTATCCGCCCTCCACTCAATGCAATGTTGCTGCAGCTGACGCGAATCCCTGTTCCAGTTCCTGTTCCTGTGCCGCGTCTGCTGCTCTGCGGCTGCCAGCCAAATTAATGAAGCGCATTGTCAAGTCCTCGGTGCTGCCGGGAAGAGACGGAGACGGAGACGGAGACGGAAAAGACAAACTTGAGAATGTTTTTCTACTCAATTTTCATATTTAATCAGACCAAAATTCGATTATGAATAGCTGAATATTATCTAGTCGTATACTTGTGTCCGTCTTTAAGAGTGTGCTTTGCCCTGCCTCAGCCTAATGAACCTGTTGTATGTAATTGAATCTCATGAAAGTCGGGCTATAAATTTTATCGAATTAAAATGTTGACTCGCAGTCGCATCCCCCGCGTGTAGCAAAACAAAGTTCACGAATTTCCCAGGCACAAAAGCTTAACAAACACATTAATTAGAGCATTTTCTGCCCCGAATTTTGGGAGCCACCTGCTCCATTTCGGTGTCTGGCGGCTTTCTCCAAAAGGTGCGCAATTAATTGGCAAGCAGACACGGCAGATGCCGCAAAGCGGCTCTGGGGATAGAGGAGCGGAGCAGGAGCCGGAGCGCCACACAAATAAACAAATTAAATTACATTTCAAGTGCCAGAGAAGGGGCAGGAAGTCAAGCGTGCGACCACTAGGACTTGAACTTGCCACGAGAGAGGCAGGATGAGGACAAAGTGGATGAGGATGTGGCAGTGGAAGTGGGAGGCTGCCTTTGTCAACAGCATTCGACTGAGGAAGTCAACAACTGTGCAACACATTATTCAAGAGCTGTTGCTCTTGTCAGCGAGAGTTGATTGCTAAGCTCGGTACGAGTATTTAATGCAAACAAGCTGTGACTCTGCCTGTAGCTGTATCTGTAACTGGGGACAGGGACAGTGGTACTGCCTCCTGCTGGGGAGGGATTCAGTTACACATTCAGTCTCTGGTCAGCTATTAAATTTGAGCCCCAGTCCACCCATTGTTGGCCACCAGCCTCTGTAAAATCCTTTGGCCAGGCTGCATTCAAATCCATGACTGCCGACTGCCGACAGCCGACTGCCATTGGCACACTTCACTCATTCACGGAGCGTTGGAAATTGCATGAATAGCCAGAGATGACTGGCAATCCGATTCCGGGCCACTTTTCCAGGCACACAAACACTATCAAATGTGAGGTGAGTTGGGTTCTCAGCAACTCCGAGGTTAAGTCGTTAAAATGTTTGGTTTCTTATTGTTCCTTTTTGCAGCGACTTTGGGCCATTTGTTTACCTTGGTGTTTGTTCCTGATTATCACCTGCCAGTCTCAGCCTCAGTCTCAGGGAGAGGTTCTGCCCTGTGTGGAGCGGAGCGGGGCCCTAGCCTCGTGCCTGCCACATTCTGGCTGCTCATTTCCGGCTTGGTTCGACTCGCGTACGCGTCCCCTGCATGCCATAAATTCTTCTGCCTCTAGTTGCTGGCTTATCTGCCCCGTGCCCCTGCTCTTGATTCGTGGCAGGGTCCAGGCCCCTGACTCTGTTATGGTTTATGTTTTCTGCTTCCACGCTGCATTCGCGTCTTCTGTACGAACATTACTTTGCCTTTGCCTACACACTTTCCTTGTCGTTTTTTCTCGAGCAGTTTAGTACAATTTCCTGGCACATTTCTCATGCGCTCGACTGGCAAGGCCCGGCCAGCGGAACCGGCTAAAAAGCAGACATTTTTTTCACTTACTTACAGCCCTCCGATGCGCCTGATGAGGCTGTTGACGTGCAGTAAGTCACAAAGTGTGTGTGTGTGTGTGTGGGGGGGACCGGAGGTGGAACCACATAAAAACATGGCAGCCAAATGAGAAACATGGAAAAATATGTGTAAAGGCAAATTCATATGCGCACAGTGGGTGTGGCCCTGGTTGTGCCCTGCAGCTTTTGGCCGGGTTTTGTGTCTGGTCGGGCGGTAGAAATTTAATTGAGGCAACCTTTATGGTCGCTCACGACGCGGCTTAGGCCTGGCCCTGCTCCAGCTTCTGGCTTTTATGCAAAATGCTTTCGACCAGGCGGCCAGCAATTTGTACATGTGTGAGAAACCTTTTGACCCTTTTCACCCACACAAACACACACGGTGGGTGGGGTGCTGGTGTGTGTATATGTATCTGTGTCTGTTGGTTTGTGTGAATGCGTGCGTGGCTGGAAAAGGACCCGAGCAAGGACATGGAAATGGTTAAGTCATTGAATGGCCTCATGAAAGTTAAGCAAAATGGCTACAGACAAACCCGGCCATTGGTATGCGGGTATACCAACTTGGCCAAGAACTTTGCCAAACTCGTGTCAACACACAGAAAGAGAGAGAGAGAGAGACAGAGATATTTGGATATTTGGTGGACTAACTGGTTACACAATCGTGATCTGCATGAAAATGAAAGACTCTTCTTATGAAAATTAGCAAAGCTATCAACAGCACAGATGTTATGTTTAGATGTGAGTCATTTTAAGTTGAATCAAAATTCATTTCCTAGAGTATTTCAATTCCTTGCTTGGGCAATGTTTTGGTACAACATTTTCGCTGCTGGAAATTAATTCCGTGCCATGTAATGAAGTCTTGTCTACACAATTGAAATTGATTCGGGTTTCGAGACCGGACCCAATGCAGCATCAAATCACTCCCAATCACAACATTACATTTTGGATTCAGCATCGAGAAAGGATCCAACGTCCGACCACAAATCGGTAGACCGTACCAAAGACCCTTCTCTGGCTGGCAGCTATTTCGGCATGTTTGGCATGCGTTTGAATTTCATTCTATTGCTCTCTACGTAGCTGTAGCTGTAGCTGTAGCTGTGCCTGTGTCTGGGCCAGTGACAGCTGCAACAACAGTCTTTGAATTTAAATGGTACTCAAAGTGAAAGTCAAAAGCACAACGTTGCTGACATTCAATATACACGAAGTGGCTGTTGGCCATTTGTTCAATTTTTATGCGCTTCGTAATTACATGAAGCGCTTTTTCATGTCGCATTCTTGCCTATTGAATTATTAAAATCTTTTGTCCCAGACAAGGGGATCCGCCTGTGGAGATTGTCTGCCAACTGGCACCCGATAACGTCAAGAGCAAAACACGGACAACTATCCCTGAGCTGTACAATTTTTACGGCTCTGACAAGCACTCCCCTGATGTCAAAAAGTAGACCCAAACCTGGCATCAGCGCACCAGAAGAGGCGGCACTAATGCCAGTATTTATTGGAGCTTCCAGTCAATGTTGCTGCCTCGATAGGCAGCAGGCACATGCATGCATGTACTTGGGCACCCCAGATCCCTACATCCATTAATATTGTGCACTATCATGGAATTGGAATCGCCTGGCAGATAGGCAGATATTCGATACCCAAGGCGGCAGTGACATTGAACAACCTTTTGGTTCGCGGGCCGCTTTCGTATTCAAATGAACTTAAGGTGAAAGTGAACCGGGGAGCAGCAAGGGAACCGCTCTATTATCTCTGGGTAAGTATCGGTGGCACCCACTCAGGAGCTGGGCGATAAATCGCTGCCGAAAATCTTCCAAATTGCTCCCAGAGCGGTTTTTGGGCTAAGCCCGGCGTATATGAAGCAAATCTGGCGAAAAACAGGCAAAACAGGCGGCCCGAGGTGAAAGTTTCAAGCCAGTCGAAAGTGGCTCCCCACTGGCGTTCAAATCTTTGACAATCTTAATGCGAATCCAAGTCAAACGCACGCACGCTGTTGGGAGAATGGAGAGAGAGCTGGGACTGGGAGCTGGGAGCTGGGAGCTGGGACTAACCCAAGTGAGGCGAGGCACTAAAACGACGGTAAATACAGAGAGTTAAGGACTCAGTCAGTCAGTCAGTTAGTCAGGCCAGCCAGTTGGGGTTCCGTTCGGGTTGAGTCCACAAATGAAATTTAATCACGCGCATGGCAAAAACGCTCTTCAGCCGGGGTCCCTTCTCAGCGTCGATGTTTACTTTATTTTCGGCTTTGCAACTTGTCTCTCAACCGATTTGATAATGTCCTGCGCCCGAACCGTTCTGCCGTTCTGCCGTGTCCCCGTATCGGTCCCGACCCAGCCCGGTGCCAAGCCGCTTGGCTGCTTAATTATGTCACAAATATTTACCCCGATCCCCTCTAGAGTGTCGTGGCACGCAAGGAATCTAGCGAAAGCAAACAGAAATCAAATGAAACAATGGCCCGCGGTGTGCGAGGGGTTGAAACGAGGTTGGGAAGGAGGTGACGAGTAGGCTGGCGGCATGTCACAATATTTCTTCCTTTTTTCCGGGACGGTACGAGTGTATTTTTTGTGCTGTTCAAGGCAATCAAGGACAAATAAGGACAACAGCGTCAGTGGCCGCCATGAAAGTGGATTTCGTGATAATGGCTGGCATTAATTTGTGGCCCGCACCGACGATAGGAGATACATTCGACAGACAACCTCTCCGCCCCGCTCCTCTGTTTGCTCCTGTCCGACCCATCGGTTCGCTGCGATTTGCACACACAAACACGGAGAACGGATGAAGGAAGGACGGAGAGCACAAATTATTTTCGTTTTGGTGAGTTTTCCTCGAGTTTTTCTCGTGTTTGTAGTGTTGATGTGGAATTGTTGCGGATATACCTTTGGCATGTTAAAAGTTATTGCCGACTCGCACACATGGACAAGGCAGAGACACATTTAACGCGCTTGTCACGCCATGAATAATGATTGGGCAGAGCGACAATCCAACAACGTCTACAGCCACAACAACAACAACTGCAACTACAACGACGGCTACAAGGTGAACGAAGACAACAGCCGGGCAGCTATCAACGTCTGTCTGCTGTCAGGGAGCCAATCGAGCATCGGGAATTACTTTAAGTGGCACATTGCTCATGCGACATGTTGTCCCACATTCGTAGTGCTCGCTCGGCCCATCCCCCAACCCAGGCAGCATCTCCCCCCTGGGGTGTCGTGATTAATAATTAAATATTGTTACAGATGTGAAGTGGAATCGGACTCGTGCTTGGGCCCTGTCTCTGACTCTCTTCTGTTCACTCCTTCTCCGTTATCTGGCTGGTTCTCTTTTCTGTTTGGTTCTCCGGCTTGTCCTGACAAATGAAGTTAGCGAATTGGCTGAGCGAGACATGGGGAAAAC